CTTTCTTTTCTTGCCAGTCCGACTCTCTCGAGGCTGGTGTTAGATCTCTGGTTCTGGCATCTGCATCTACTATCTGGCGCGGTCAACACCTGCACTCCTGAACAGACCAGTCCCGGCATAGATCATCCAGTTTGGACACCGCCTTGCCACAGCAACGGGTGAAGTGAAAATTGCTAAACCCGGACTGACTCTCAAGAATGGTCGCCTTCATCTCAGATCAGCCGAAAACACCTGGCCAGTGTGACTAGGGCCATGCCGGCTCAATCTTCACCTCACGTGAAAGGGGCGTCTACCACGGGCAGCACCATGGACTAGCCTGCCACAGCTTGCACTTCAAAAACTCTCTGTTACGTATCAAATAATAGTCGCCCATTCTCCAGCTGGCCCATCACCTTGATTCACATCATTGCTGCTGCCAGACCTGAGACGCACAAAAGAAATTCCGCTTGATCTACATGCCTCCTGTCATCTCAGCGGTGGTAGCCCAACATCGCGGTACGCACAGAGCACTCGATAAAACTCCGCAGACGATCTCCCTGACAGTAATTATGACCGTACCCAATCCGCGTCTCGCTCACCGCCACAGGCACTCGGGTGCAGCAAATTTGGCGACAAGAGGCTGACGGTTCCCGTGCGGCCTTGTGCCTGGGTTGTTCGCAACCTTGTGCACCAAGTCATGTTGCGCGCCGTTTCATGCCTTTGAAACGCTAAATGCCATCCAGAACTTTGCCATATTTACACTCCACACGTTAATCAACATCTGACAAGCCACCATCGTCGTATCTCTGATCGAATTTCTGAGCCGCTGATAGCCCTGTTGTTGACAATTTATCGTCGCCCTTGCCCCATCGATGAACTGTGGATCTCGCGTCCCTGACTACTCTCGCTTCGTGGCTTCTTCTGGAGCGCGGAGCGAGTTGGCTACTCGAAGACTCCCGGCCGGGCTCCACCACACGAGTCAACGTCGATAGCGTGTAGAACTACGGCTACCACGAGCAAGCCATGCGATACTTGTTGAGGTGTGGTTCTCTCAAATCTCACACCACATGTCAGCTACATGGCGTACAAAGTACAAATAGTCTCAGCAGCGCCACATAGATAGTCCTGCCAATGTTCCCCGCACGCCGTGATTAAGCCAACAGAACACTCCGCGGGAGGTCATCCACCATCTTCACTACCAATGCATCACAGCCAACACCCGATCTAAACCAACCATGCACCGTGCGAAACAACAGTATAGGACCAACACCAACCTCGCATGCAATACATACACACGATAATAGCGGTCGAAATAAGCTCAACGCAATGGCGCTCGACTGCCGCTGCAGGGCGGGGAAGGAGGCGATGCGCGTTGGTGGAGACGGCTACCTCGACTTCTGCCTTCCTCATTTGGCTGGGTGCACTTTCCATGTCTATTCCCACAACGTCATCGCTTCAGCCTCGCGGGTCCCTTCTTACCACAACTACAGCACTCGTCACAGCATGGCGCGAATACATCCTATCGGACTATTGTTGGGTATCAATTGCTGATTCTGTGGTATACAGGCTGCCCCTTCCTTCCTTGTGGACAGTTTTCTCTCTCTTCACTTTCCTCTGTCTGCTTGCATACTGCTCTCCACGTCCTGAAAAGCAGCGCTCCATTGTCTTTTGCTCTCTTTCCCACCAACATGTGCCGCATGGTCATATCCCGTGGAACCTTTGATTCTCGCCTCTGTACGCTCCTGCCTGTTCCTCAAGACGTTTCTCATCTTCCGCTCCTTCCTCAACACCTCCTTTGACTTGATAATGCGTTTCTTTTCCGCCGGTCTGCCCTTCATCGCCTCATCATAGATATCCTTCCTCGACTTCCCAGGCATGATGATATCATACGCAGACCGGGACCCGAAATCAACCTTCTTGTAAGCAACCTCCCAGTCGCACTCACTCGCCGGTGGTCCAAAGCCATGGGGCCGCAAGTCGAGAGTGGGGAACCCTAGCAATGTTTGCTCGCCTGTCTTGCGGTCTATTCGGAATACCGCGGGCAGTGTGAAGCGCAGATCGGCTGGTTTGAGCAGATCGAAAGCAGCCGTGATGAAGCGGTAGGGACTATTCTCTGCAGGTTCAAGCATTCGATTCTTGATCTCATGGGCAGTGGGTAAGTAATCGTCTTTGCTAAAGATACGTAGCACGATGTTGTCGTACGTAAGTCGATTGGTTAAAGAGATCCAGTAGCGGCCATCGAAGAGTCGCCACAATTCTCTCTGTGATGGCTTACCCAGAGTTCTTTTTGGAGGATAGACGATGTTCAATTCAGGATTTGCCCTTTCCAGCGTTTCAAGCGGTTGCCGGGTGAGCAGCCATTCTCGCGGGTGGGTCAGGTCTGGGTTGATGCCTTCTTCTTGGTGCTCGGGCTTGTTAAACGGCGAGGGCTTCTCCCAGAAGCGCCACCACACGTTGTAGACGCAAAAGTTCTTCTTTTGGAGCGCTTCACCCGGTACTACGTTTTCTTCGAGCTCCTCGAGTTCGGGATAGATGCGATAGGCGGACGCGGCGAGTTCACCAAGAGGTGCTTTCGTGGCGGGAGTGACTAGTCCTGCCACGCGTTCAAGCAGGCAATATGCCGTGTTCTTCGCTTTGATCTTGTCGGCTTTGGTGTTTATCGGGTATGGTAGGAGGTCGGAGAAAGGGGGAAATCGGACGATAAGACAGCCTGTCTGTATATCGAGTTTGATGGGGCATTTATCGAAGAGTTTGTCCGCGAGATCTCTGTGCCACTTGATGCGCTCTTGCATATGCTGCGAGACATTGACCAGCGACTTGACACTCAAAGCCTCCGGAAGTTTGTGGTTCTGATATATATGGCGTATAGCGTTGCGCGACGTAAGTGTCTTGATCTGATTCGTTTTGTCTTCTGCCCAAGCTACACCCCTCTCTTCGCACGTCGCAATCAGTCTCGTCTTCTCAAACGTCAACAGAGGCCGCAGGATCTGCACACCTCCTTGTTCGACCTTGAACGGTATAAGCCCGGTGCGATCTGGCTTCTGGTGCTTTCCGCTGTGGTACACCCCATGTAGGCCCTCGCACTCTGGTATCCACTCTCTGCGCTGCATTGCCTGAAGCCCGGAGCGCAGCCTATTGTTCGCCAGCCTCATCATAACAGTTTCGGCCTGGTCGTCCGCATGATGTGCGAGCATGAGGCGTGTAATCTTCATGCTTCTGCATGCTAGACCTAGCGCTTGGTAGCGGAGCGTACGCGCTTCCGTCTCGAATCGCTTGGAGTCGTTGGGATCGAAGGCATCGGGCCATGTAAGGGGAAGAATGGTGATTGGTATACTAACTTGACAATGTTAGTACTTGACCGCCAGATAAGTATCATAGATTCTCACGCTTCGTATGTAGTTGCTGCGACACCCATTTCGCTTCCTCTGTACTCTCCGGTCTCACTTTGTGGTCTACAATGAAGCCATGGGGGATAGGCAGCTTGGGGTCTTCTAGTCGAGACTGTGCGTATAACGCAGCGAGTGCCATTGAATCGACACCCCCACTGATGGCAATGCCTGTGTCGTACATCAGTCGCGCATACTTGCAGCGAATACGACTGCGACTTACCCAAAAGATTCTTGCCTACATCATCACCCTTCTCTTTCACCAACACACCATCTCGCATAGCCGACATGAACTCATCGTTCCCGATTGGCAGAGCGCTCGTAGACTGCGATCGTCGGAATAGCCCTACATGGCTCCGTCTCGCAGTATGGTAACAATGCCCGCATCGTCGAACATTGTTTCTCCACATAAGAAGCACTGTCGACGCCGATGCAATGCGAAAAGAATGCACTAAACAAGGGACGAATGTGAGGTTACTCGTTCTGGTAATGCGCGAGATGCCAAACGTTCCGCAGCGTGTTCCGAGGTAAGTGCACGGACATGGAATTTTCTGGAAGGGCAAAGCACAACATCTTCATCTTGCTGTCTAGCTTTCAACCCGAACATCTTCCTCTTCAGATACAGCGCACCTATAGCCTTTTCTTGATTCTACGTGATACCCAGTTCCCTTCCGTCCATCTGTCAATATGGTAAGCTTCCCCCAATACCAACCCACCATAATAATCTATCGACACGAGCATTGCGCACCACCACAACCACCCCACCACCCATCCTCCACCTCTATCTCCACCTCCACCTCCAGCCCAGCTCCCAGCTAACCGATTCCCCCCATAGTCCGCAATCAAGTCCATCAAGAGCATCGCGCCGCTCCTCGACCGCATCCTCGTCCAGCGCATCAAGCCCGAAGCCAAGACCGCAACGGGCATCTTCCTCCCCGAGACGGCCGTCAAGGAGCTCAACGAAGCAAAGGTCCTCGCCGTCGGCCCCGGCGCCTTCGACAAGGATGGAAAGCGCGTTACCCCCAGCGTACAACCCGGCGACAAGGTCTTGATCCCGCAATTCGGCGGAAGCCCCATCAAGGTGGGCGAGGAGGAGTTGAGCCTGTTCAGGGACCACGAGTACGTTGCCCGCCTCGTTTGAGATGTCTGATTTGGTGGTTTAGATTTCATGGCTAATACACATTGTGCAGGCTCCTGGCTAAGATCAACGAGTAAATCGGGCATATGCCATCATCTACCATGATAGAATCAAGATAGATCGGCTTGCGTATCCTGTACCAACACCACACCCGAACATTCACGAAACGCGAGACGCTAGCATAACGGCCGGCGTTCATTTGGCATATCATCTGGCTTGGGGCTATCTGTTTTGGAAAGCGTTTCTTCTATAACATGTATTTACAAGCAAGAGGTCGGAATCAAAAGACAACAGCTGTCGCGCAGATGTGGGGGAGAAACAATGATATAAGAATCTCTACTCTATCGCACTTCACCTGACGCCGGGATTGAAAGGTCATATTTCGCATTATTCATGAATCTACTGAGATGCTGCAGTGGACAGATCCATCCGGAAGCTGCGCCAGGGACGCCTCACTCCCTCTATAGCCGTCAACGCCTGGGTATTTGAACCAGCGCTTACCACCCTGAGTTTCCTCCAGCGCCCCACGCTCTTGCGCTACCTTCCCCAGGTGCGCCTTGATCATACGAATTGTATGCGCCACCCTGGTTATACGCACCATAAGATCCTGGCGGGGGCTGTTGAGCCGGCGGCTGGCCATAGCCTCCAGGAGCAGGGTAGTTTTCGTACCCTTGCTGGTAGTTTGTAGGGACCGTGTAGCTAGGCTCCGCACCTTGACCTCCAGAGTACTGGCCTTGACCCCATCCATATCCGCCAGATGGCACTGCGTTGCTGTACTCAGCAGGCGGCTGATATCCTTCACCTGCGTACGAGGACTGGTAAGGTTGGAAGTCAGCCCACTGCGAGGGCTGAGGCGATGGCGATGGCTGGTATGGACCTGGACCTGGTGCTGCCAAAGAGGAAGCAGAGGGTTCATCGTCCATGTCGCGAGTTCTTCCAGAGCTGCCACCGAAGCTGCTAAGTATACCGCCGAGAGGGCCGGGAAGTTTGCTCGTCAAGGAACCTAGGAGGTCGCCGGATCCGCTGGACTGCTGTTGATGACCACCGCCACCACCACCGCCATGGCTGTGGCCGCCGAAGCTCGACATGTTAACTGCACCGTGACTGTGACCTGCAGAGTGATCGTGGTCTCCGCTGTGGTTATGTCCAGCCTTTACAGATTCAGAAGAGAGGATCTGGTTCAGGTCCTTTCCGTGGTAGTTGCGGGCCCATTGCTCCACGACCTTGAACATGTTGTTGTGTACTTCGCAGTGCGGATCGCGAAGTGCTGGGTGATGGAACACGCGCATACAGTCGTGCAGGACCTCGTCGACCGGCACATCTGGGTGGTCCCAAGCGTATATGACGCGGGGCGCGACGTACTGTAGGATAGCGACCGCGACTTGACCGGCGGGTGGGTTCAGGACGTTGGAGAAGTGATCCTTGGACAGCATGCTGTGTGTTGGGTTGGTGGATGTAGGGTCCGTCCATACCTCAAACTGGTGCTTGGCCGCTGAGTCAATCACGGCAGAAGATCCGCTCTTCAGCTGGGTCGACGCTGTCTTGATGATCGGCAGAATGAAGGGCGCAAGCAGTGATAGCACGAACAGCGTGACGCGCTCGGTAATGGTCTCAATCAGCTTCTCAAGACCGGGGATCTTGGAGACGATGGCCGAGATCTTGCGGACAACGTTGTCACGGAAAACTTGAAGAGGTCAGCTAAAATTACGATTCTCTGTTCGCGAAGGCCTTACCTAGAATTGGGTAAATCTTTGGGATGATTGTGGCTGGATCAGTGTTCGTTCCTGGAATATCTGGTCCTGGTGGTCCGCCCATGGATCCTGGTGGTGCAGCGAAGTCGTTAGGTCCAGCCCTAGACGAACTGTAATCGCCATAACCACCTCGCGCGTTCTCTGCAGCTTGGGCATCGGAAGAGGCCTGCAGACTCTGTGCTTGGCTGATGAGATCGCCAGTACCGGGTACTTTGCTCAAAACATCAATGAGCCCACTGCAAGCGTTGGATTGGCCTCCCGGTCCGCTCCTCTGCCCACCAGACCCACCGACTGCATCTACAAGAGCAGTGTTCACCTCATCGATCTCAGTCTGGGTAATGTGATCATTGGCCTCTCCTAGCACCGAGTGGAAGAAGTCGACACCTCCGAAGGTACCAGTCACGAGAGGGTAAGTGTGCTTTCCATGGAGGTTGATGCCAGCCTGGACGCCCACGTGAGGGAAGACATTAGTATACCCAAGCTCACACAGCACAAGTTCAGTGTAATTGGTATGGGCTCCGAAATCTTCGAGGCAGTGCAGTCCTTGACCCAGACAGCGAAGCGCTTCCGAAAGGTCTTCGTCCCGACCACGTTGGCCGGACTGTCCGTGGGTGTAAAGTCGACCGAAGTGGATGGCGCGAGCGAAAGAGTACTTCACATATCCGGTCGAAGTAGCCCAGTTCCCGTGTTCGTTCGCAATGTAATTCTTCATACCAGTGTTTGGGTCCACTGCAAGCTCGGCATCTGATACTGGTCCTCGAAGACGAGGGTCGTATTTTCTCGCGTCTTCATTGTCGGCATAGTCCTTCTTTGGGAGATTTAGTATCAATGCAATGGTGTTTGGGCAGATGGTAGTGGCTTACAGGGTTATCTGGGCTCTCGTTAGTACGACAAAGCAGAAGAGGTTCAAGTTCGCTTACCGATGTGTTCTTCGGGCCTATACACACCTAGCCTCTCGGCGGTGACCTCAAACTCTCCAGTTGCATAGCCAAAGGACATGAAAGACAAGACCCAGACCAGAACGCGAATAGTTTCTCCCTACGTCTTGTAAGCATGTCGATGGGGGAAATCGCTTCTGCTGCTTTCGCATACTTGAACTTTAGCCAACGTTCCAACATCAACAGCCTAAACCGGTCAGCGCATTCCGACGTCGCACAATCTGTTGGGCTTACTTGTGAGTAATCGCGTAGCCAGTTGCCAAAGTACACACGCTACACGCAAGGTCAGTCACCGTCATCACAGCTACATCGTCATATGGACATACCTTGATCATGTTACTCTTCCACTTATGGCCCTTCAAGCAAGCGACCGTCGCAAGCATATCTTCGATATCGCCATGACGCCAGTTCTTGCCCTCGATTTTCGATATCGACGCGATGTTTCCAGCACCGAAAGCGTCTGCACCGGCTGGAAGTAGGACGAGGATGGCGATAGCGATAAGCAGCACGTACTGCGAGGAGACTCCCATGATCGCGGGATGTAGAGGGGAAATGAGGAAATGGAAGATGATTTAGCTCAGCGCAGTAAGAGTCTGCGATAACTGTCTGCTGGAGTCAGCTGCACTTACGTAGTGAAAGTGTGGCCCATGATGGCGCAGCAAATGACGCCACAATGCCCCACCTTCTCTCGGAAATCCGGCATGGAGGGGTAGCACAAGACCGAGCCCAACTCAGTTCCTTTCTTTCGCCAACCACGGCACACCAAAAATGATGACGATACCGCAGTTTAATGAGAAGTCCTGGGGGCTTTAAAGATGTATGTGTCTTTCTCGGTCTGTTCATTCCATATTGTTGTAGACTGCGCCACGATTCTTCCTGGTGTAGGGTAACCACGCTTGGTCCGCTCGCACCAGCCAAGCCAGGCAGGCACGTATGTGGGCATGATACAGCTCGAAATCTTCCGAGTTATTATCGCAGCATGTGTCACACTCGAGCTCAAGGACTCAAGATCAACCCAACTTCACAACCAATACCTGAGCTTTGCGTAACACTTCTCGATCCGTCTCAAAGTACAATAACCTCTCAGCCTCTTCACAGGAGTACAACCCCGTCTGAACCCCTTCTTCACCAGGCCCTTTCATCTCGCAAGCACCTTCGTCCATGATGGCGACGTACCACCATATAACCTTGACACCTTGACCATCTCTCAACGTCCGCACGGTGACCATGAAAGGTTCTACCGAGTCGCGTGAGATGCGTGCCACGTCTGGGGCGTCCGCCGCGTCGCCAGCGATAGTGGCTCTGGTTTTCATATCCACTGGCAAGATATGACACTTGTACCCGGTTTCCTCGTATACTTCGCGTAGCGCAGCTTCTTGACGCGATTCTCCGCTGTTTCGACGGCCTTTGGGTAGGGTCCATAGATCGGATACAAGGAGATGGATTAGGCAGATCTTCTGGCGAGTTGTGTCGTAGAGGATGGCGCCGCAGCTTTCGACGAAGTTTTCCGATGTATATTGCTGGGTTGGGAAAGTGGATTGTGCCATGATTTGTGGAAGGGAAGGGCCATGGGGGTGTTGTTGACGAGAAGAAAGTCGACTCTACGTCGATTATAGAACTGATGTCTTGGCTGCGGCTGGATGATGATTGCTTCTGACCAATGAGACTACACTCTGAGTAGTAACCCGAACACCTTCACATCTATCGACCTGTATGTCCTATCGCGTACTTCTATGCTTAGCCGTTAAGACTCAGAGTCCCAAAGACCGCGGATACCTCCAGGGTACAGTCTATTGTGATTACAAAACAGACCTGTCAGATTCGGATGCGCCCCGCACACAGAACACCACACAGAGTCAGAGGGCCGTTAGCTCTTCACCCGAGTGTGACTCTTCAAGATGATAGACCAGATCACGCTAGCCTGTTAGAAACAACCTATCCCTATCTAAGGTAGCATGAGATTGTCATAGGGCGTAACACTACATGAAGAAGAAAACGCGCAACACCTGACATCTAATAGCATAAAATAACACCCAATAACACTACCTCTATACAGTATGCTATCCATAGAAAAGATCACCATCCTCCCAGTTCCCTTCGACCACCCAGACAGCATCCACCTCCGCTCCAAACAACAACTCGAGATAGACGACCCAGACTACACAACTCCGCCCTCAGCCGCCGACGTTCCCCTCTTCCTCATCGCGTATCATGAAGGCATCCCAATAGGCTGCGGCGGTCTACGTCCTCTATCTCCTTGCTCAGAAAACGCACGAGAAAGTTCTGCTGAGATAAAGCGGATGTTTGTCGACTCGCCGTACCGAGTGGGATTAGAAGGAGAAGCCGGGCTACGCACATCCGTTGCGACGATGATACTCGAGCAGCTGGAAGAGGAAGCGCGGAGTAGGGGTTGGCCGTGGTTGCTGTTGGAGACGGGTGAGCACATGCCGAAGGCGAGGCGGTTTTATGAGAGGTGTGGGTTTAGTCAGCGGGGGATGTTTGGGAAGTATGTTGAAGCTGAGGGGAGTGTGTGTTATGAGAAGTGGGTTGGAGGTTCTGCTTCGTAGGTGTAGAACAGCAAGGATGGCGAGTAAAGGAAGGAACGGCCCGAGTTCTGCGGATACTAGAGGTGTTCTCCACGCACGAACAGTGGCTGATGAGTCCGCTCCAGTGTATATACAACATTGCACACCTTGGGCCTATGAGTCACGGCATCAGCTCTGTCCTCATTCCGTACTTGCCAGTCCGCCTCATCGACCTCGCGCTTGTCCACTACACGCCACAAGTCGCCGGGGTGTGGGAACGCTGCTCCTTGGGGTATTACGTCCTTTGCAGCTGCATCTAAGAAATAGAATCGATCCTTGGAATAAGACAAAGCAATCCATCGTGCCCCCGGTTTCGTCACTAGCGCTAAATTCACAGCCATGACTACTAAGGGATGGATCAGCTCCGGGGTTTTTGCGGCATCCAGGTCTAGAGGTTCGTAGGAGCGGATGGCTAGTGGGTATGGCAGGGGGACTAGGACGTCGTCTGCGCAGGCGATGGAGTCGCATGTTGACTTGTCTACTATGACGGAGTAGGCTGCGCGCTTGCATGCGCGCATAACGGACTGGTAGTCAAGCAGGTCTACGGCGTCCCAGCGCATGCATGCAGCTTCTCCTATGTCCTTTCGCGGATCCTGGTATATTTCCTGTTCCCGGATCTTGCCGACTTCAATCGCTACTTCAGAGTAGTCCAGATTGTGTATCTGTCGCGGTGCGTCTACATGGGAGCGCAAGTGGTAGGAAAGCAGTGATGTGCCGCAGCCTATGTGTAGAAGTTCCGGCTTGGGCGTGGGTGTCGCATCCAGGGCATCGACGATGTGCGGATCTAGGGCATTGGGGGCCTCTAGCCACTCGAAGGGGTCTGTATTCGCAGCGAAGCGCTCATTCCAATAAGCTTGCGAACCGAACGAGGGTGGCTGTTTAGAAGGCATTGCGAACTGGGAGGCATTGCATTAGAACTGGCTTCAGAACTATAGGCGTGATTAGTTGTCATATCTCCACTAACAGGCTCAAACGTAGATGGTATGGGTTTTAGGCGCGCGATATGCAACCTAATTCACGAGTACAGGAGTGATACCCGTATGGAGGTTTGTTGCGGTGTGTGAAAGTCTCGAGACGCGACGACGCCCAACCTTTGGAAAGATTAAATGCGCCGGTCCGAGCGTCCTCCGAGCCTCGATCATTTCTCATCACTCGGACTCCCGAGGCGACGAGACGACGAGTATCACCACCCACAGCCATGGCAACCCTCCAATCAATACCACGCTTTCTCCTGCCCCGGGGCCCTCTGCTCCTGCGCCCCCAAGCCCGCGCCTTCCTCCCGCTACCCTCCCCCACGAGCGCCCGCCATGCGTCCATTACCCCCAAAGGCCTCTCAGAAGAATTCCGAAGACGGCGGGAAGCACAACAGAGCAAAGGAGCACCCGTAATACCACAGCCCGACAAATACCGACCGCCATCGCACAGCAAGCGAGCCCCGAACCGCAATCTCGAGAACAAGATCTATGGCGCGCCCGTATCCGAGGAAGACAAGAAGCGCATGGCCACCAAGAAATACCCCAACATGATGAGTCCCGAGGGCACCTTCTCGCATTGGTTCCTGCACAACCGGGCCATCCATCTCTGGATAACAATGGTGCGATCTCCTCTCCCATACCACCCAACCACCCCAAGCTAACCCCGCTCTCCCCACAGGGCATACTCGTCTCCCTCGCCATAGCAGCATGGTACATGGACTTTATCTCCAAGACCGTCTTCGCCCACTTGCTCCCCTCGCGCAAAGATTTCCTGCGCCACCCTTTCGAGTCCTCGTCGAGATTCATTGAGGTCTACAAGATGCACATGGAGCAGACGTCGCAGCAGTATCAGCAGCAGAGGCTGAAGAAGGCGGAGGAGGTCGAGAAGAGGAAGCAGTATCGGTTGGAGAGGATGAGGGAAGCTGAGCTGAAGGGCGAGGAGTATGTTGAGGATCCGAGGTATTATGTTGGTGAGGATGGTGTAAGGCGGAGGAGGGTGAAGAGGTGGTTTGGTATCTGGGAGTGAGGGTGTTGGTAGGTGGTCTCTCCAAGAAGTAAGATTATCAGAGGCATATCTGTGGTAGGAATTGGGTTGCGCAATGGCATACGGTAGTGTTGGATATGCGTAATGAACGGCATCGAGTCGCGCAACGCTGGTGGGGAAGAGGTCGGCGAGATGACGTTTGAACCCCAGCTTCATTGAAGAGCTGTGGGCAATTGGTATTACGAGGCATGTACATGAAGGTGTGTATACTAGATGGGTGAATCCCGTTCTTCAAGAATCGACAGTTAAAGGACATCTCCTTTCACTTCAACATTTAAAAAGTCTCGAAGTCTCTACAACCGCACATCGCCCCCTTCCTCCTCCCTCCTCCCAAACCAAACCTCATCATCAGGCCCCATCCCCCTCTCTACCCCCTCCACCCCACACAACCCACCAACCTCCGCCGGTACCTCCCAGTCCCTCATCCCCTCCACCCTCGTCGCAAACACCATGCCCAACCCCGCCTCAGCATGCCAGCCGACGTGACAATGAAACTGGTAGAGGTACGTCAGTATATGTCTCACATGCGCTTCGTACAGTCAGAACTTACCAACCACACTCCTGGATTATCCGCCACAAAGCTTATCAACAACCACCCATACGCCTCCACACTCGCCGTATCCCTCCTTAACGGATTCGTTACATTTATGTGGTCGTCAACGTGACTAGGGGAGAGCAGAGTAGAAGGCGGATACCCGTGTCCCTGGGCCAAGACGAAGAATTTGTAGCCATGCAGATGGAAGGGGTGTGTTCCATCGTCGAGGTTCTGTATCAAGATCGTTATGGTGCGTGTAGATTCGGTCTGGTAGATGAGCTGGTGAACTGAGTCGAAGGGGCGTGTGTCCAGTATGCCCTCTTGCACCTTCGTCTCGGGAGTTTGTGTTGAGAGCAAAGTGTTTAGAAGCGGTGATGTGGCATTGATGCGGAAGGAACTGTCATTCAGATAGCCCCGCGAGAGCCTCCAGTCGCGGATTTGGAACGATGAGCGCAGGTAGAGGGTGTGCTGAGGATCGTTTTCTGGGGCTGGAATTGCGATGACGGGGGCTAGGGTTGAGGTGTTTAGATCTCGGCATTCTACGTCGATGATTTCGGGCCAGTCTCTACTTGCTGGGATGAGGTTTTTCGTGTCGTCGTTTGCAGAAGGATAGTATAGTACGCCTCTGACTTCTTCTTGTAGTTCTGGCTCTTCGTATGCAAAACAGTGGGTTATCATCCTCGCACGTATCCAGTACATGCCTTGGTTTTCCTCCTCTTTTGGTGGCCTCACGATGATGCTGTATCGTTGCGCAGGATTGATGTTCAGTCGATGGATAGACTGGGGGTGTACATCCGTGCCATCGACTTCTGTGACTTGGAACTCGTGTTCGTCGATTTGTAGAGCAAATTCTGCGAATGCTCCGACGTTGATGATGCGGAGTCGTGTGTTGCTGGTACGAGATAGGTTGAACAAGACGTTACTGGTGCCAGAGGAAGAACAGTTTCGATTCGGCAAGTCGGCGCAGTCTCGCATGTTCCTTCCGTTGATCAAGGCGGAGGGCGGAACGGGTTCGTCGTTCTCGCTGCCAGGGGCGAGGTACTGCATGAGTAGGTCGGAAGAGAGATCGTAGTAGTAGTCCGATACCATGACTACGCGGTCTTGCTCATACGATACCTTTTGCAAAGCATCTTTCTCTTCTCTACCCCTGGCATGAATGATAAGAGGTCCCACTAAACCATCTGACGCTTGCATGCCGACGTGCGAATGGTACCAGTACGTTCCTGTCTGCCCTGATACGTTGAATCGGTATGTAAACGAGTGACCCGGGGCAATAGGACATTGCGTCACCCCCACCGTTCCGTCCATCCAATTCGTGCCATTTTGATAGAGACCGTGCCAATGGAAAGTAGTAGCGTTGATGGCTTGGTTCTGAACATTAATAACAAGCTCGTCGCCTTCGTTACACTCGATAAGCGGTCCAGGAAAGGTGCCGTTGATGAGTATCATGGGTCGATACACACCATCTGGGTTGAGAATGTGATCGGATACTACCCATGTATACTCTCGGGTCGTAGGTGGTGCGTTGAAATCCCATGATGAAGAGAGCATGTAGTCTTCTTCCGGTCGAAGTCTTGCAGAATGAGCATCAAGGGAGGGGGATGTATCATTCCGGGTACTCGTCAGACCCCGATACACCAGGGCTATGACTGTGCAAATGAGAAGCGAAACGACGGTGACGGGCCTGATCCATGGCCACCGATGAATGTGATGGTGTGAAACGTCGTGCTTGTCGCTCCAGCGCGGTTCCAAGTGGTTCTCTTGGTCTTCGCTGCCTCGAGATTGGTAATCGTCTGTGGGTGCATGCAGCAAGCCAACTTGCTCCTCGGGCTTGTGCATATTCGATCTAGACATCTCTTTCATGCCGAAGCTTTGGTTGCGGCCCATCGCGGTTAGCTTCCAAGACCACTCATCAAGTCCCTGCCTGTATTACCAAATCGTGGTTCAGGTATATGTAGCAGTAATTCTCTGTTTGGTGTTTGGCGATTTCCGTGTCAAGCACCCCGTCGTCCCTGCGTCGGATCTGATCGTTGTAACGTGCCATGTCGTTCAGGGAGCCTCTGAACACGATCGCCACCAGCCAGCCAGCCGCTGCACGAGTCCAGAAGATCATCACGCTACGCCACCCCACCTGCAGTGTCACTGGTGTCAGGCGTGGCCATACCTTGGATCTGCGGGTCGTACCAGGTTTGCCGAGTTCGTGTCCAATCAGCCCCGCACGTTCATCTCTCAAAGCTATCTAAAGCTTGTCGACCTTCCTAAAAAGCTTATCCTCCCGCATCGATGCGCGAAGTACTCTCCCCAAGAATGCGCACATGTGCGCTACGAAGAATGTCATTGGTGGAGATGTGACGGCTATACTGCAGGTCGTCCCAGTGATGTCCAGACCCTTAGGCACTACCTAGCGGAAGCGGCGCCTCATGACCCTGGCAGATGAGATGAAAAGCCCTGAGGAGAAACTTCATGTATGCCTGCTTCTGTCATTTCATCCGGCGTTTCTCCGTTGTCTTGACGTTCCTTGGTAAGGAGATATTGTGGTAGAAGGAGCCGAAAGGGCGTGCTAACCAAAACAACAGATTTGTCTAGCCATCATGATTACTCCACTCGTTTCGTCTCTAGCACTTCTAGCGACCCTGAACCCCGTACAAGCCCAAAGCACATTTCCAGGGAAAGCCTTCGACCGTATAGCCATAATATGGCTTGAAAATACCGATTACGACCTCGCAGCAGGAGACCCAAACCTAGCATGGCTCGCAAAGAAAGGCATCAGCCTCACGAATTACTTTGCAGTAACCCATCCTTCCATGCCCAACTATGCAGCTGCCATTTCAGGCGACTACTACGGCATCAACCACGATGACATGGTCGCTATTCCCTCCAACGTATCCACCTTGGTAGATCTCCTCGAAGACAAAGGTGTTAGCTGGGGCGAGTACCAAGAAGACATGCCCTCAGTAGGTTTCCAAGGGAAATCGTACACGAACCCCAAAACTGGAGCGAACATGTATGTTCGCAAACACAACCCAGCTGTGCTGTACGACTCAGTTGCACAAAAGACGGAGAGGCTGGCGAAGACAAAACCCTTGACCATGTTCAAAGAAGATATGGACAAGAACCAGTTACCGCAGTGGATGTTTATCACGCCAAATATGACTAGCGACGGTATTTTCCAAGACACCCTGTGTATTCCCGTAGAAATATACTCACACCTACAGGCCACGACTCCACCGTAACAGTAGCAGGAACCTGGACGCGCACCTTCCTCGAACCCCTCCTCACAAACAAGAACTTCATGAACAATACCCTCGTCATGGTAACCTTCGACGAGAACCATTCCTACGGGCAGCAAAACCGCGTCGTGGCCATACTGCTAGGCGATGCCGTACCCGCCAGCTTAGTCGGCACCACAGACAACACGTACTACAACCACTACAGCGAGATCGCCACTGTACAAGCAAACTGGGGCTTGCGTACGCTGGGCCGTTGGGACGTGGGCGCAAACGTGTTCAAGTTTGTAGCGGAAAAGACGGGCGATACGGTGCGAGCTTGGTCGGGTAAAGTTCCGTTGAGCAATATGTATTTCAATGCGTCGTATGCGGGCAAATTGAGCAACAAGAACAAGTCGGTTCCTTGGCCTGTTCCCAACACGGATGCGGTGTATGCGGGGAGGACTGTGCTGCCGGCTATTGCGGATACGTGGGGGAAGCAGGTTGGGCAGTCTGCGTATACGACTGCGTTGGAGATTCCGGATGGCATGCATCCGGAGGCTGAGTTCAAGTAGACGCGCCCATGAGTAGAAATTTGAAGATGATCGCTTACATAGAGCAAGAAGTACCAATGAGTACTGAGCTATTGATGGATGGTACGAGTGATTCTGAATTCATCGAGTCACTTGTACCATCCATCAATAGCTTAGTACTCATTGGTATCGACTGATCCGATATGCATTATCCCTAGACTGGGCCATGCCCACTCTATATATCGCTATCAATTAAACTGCCCATTGTCTGCGCGACGCCTTCTTTGCCTCCCCCACACCCTTGGCATCTCGTCGCAACACAGCGCCCACTACCTGTATCCTGCCCACATCTGCGTAAGCGCCCTTCCCAATTTCCTCTGGCCATATATCGGGGTGTAGGATCGTGTACTCAGCGAGCTCCGCGCCTTCTACTTGTTGCAGCTTCTCCAAGAAGATGTCATGGCCAGGATTAGCCGCGGGCATCGCGACACCTGTATATACAACGATAACACCAGTTGACGACAAGATTTTCATGCCTTCTTCTACGATGCGTATGGAGAGGTCGAGACCGAAGCCAGCGCCACCATCTGCGTATATTGGTAGATCCACGCCATCTGTGCTGGATGCGATGTACGGTGGGTTGCTGACAATCAGATCCACACCATGGTGCTTCAGATCTTCAGGCACGGTCGCGAAAAGGTTCGACTCAGCAAAGTCGATCTTGACGCCCGCCAGCTGCGCATTGACCTCGGCCAGACTCAACGCACGCGGATTCAGGTCCAGCCCCAGCGTCTTTGCCTGCGGGTATGTCCTCGCCATGTGTATCGCGCCTGCGCCGGCTCCACAGCAGACATCTACGATACTGCTGGGCGCATGTGGGAGGTGTCGGGATATGGTTTGGAGGAAGCCGACGAAGAAGTACGTGTCGGGGCCGCAGAATACGGAATCGGACGACGCTGGGAAGGAAGAATGGATGTAGTACAGCGAGGAGACATCAGGATCGCGACTCGGGAGGCTGGGAAGGTACAGGTTGGATACGCGGATGGTGGAGCGGTAGCTTTTGTCGTCATTTTGTGTGATCACGCTGGCTTCGTGGAGGCGTTCGAATATGTCGTCGGGTATTATCGATCGGAGTGCTTCTCTGTCACATTATTAGTACTGCAGGATATACGATACCTCTTCCGTAGACGACAAATGGTGACCTGTATGACCTACCTAGTACATGACAAGTTCCACCCAAAGAAGTCGTACGCGTTCTGGGCATCTTCCGTCGCGACATTCGAGCGTCTTTTCTCCACTACCCTGCCCTGCGTCTCTGGCGACGGACACACAAAGACGTAGTTCTGCTTGGCTAGATGTTTAGTCAGGGCCTGGTAGGCGATGGTAGTTTCCGACATGGTTGGAGGTGTGCTAGAGGTTCGTCTCCGCGGCGACTTCATGGCGTAACGCCTCTGTGACACAGCCAACACGTCCAAGTGTCAGTGCACATGGTACCAAGAGTTACCTGCGCCGCGGAGCAGAAGCAGGTGTCAGTGTGACGTTGTTGTTAGTAATGAAGGCTGCGTGAAAGCCTTCGTGCATGTCGTGATCTGGCCTGATCTACCCGAATAAGAGCTGTTCTAGACGCGCAGTGCAGATTGCATGCAAAGAACCATCGCTTTTTCTTGTCGCTTGTCGCATCGCTTGCAGTTAATGGACAGATTGATGTCGCGAAGACGTTAGCTCCCACGCGGAAGGGTCGCGCGGTTTGTGGGGTGCGCTTGGCCTAGCTATAAGCAGTCTAGTGCCAGATGTCGTCACGGATCCATTTCCCGGCGATGACATTGACATCTCAAAAGACACCGCTGCGTGGTGTTCATCGTCAGCATGATCTACTGTGCGTGTTTGCCTGGGGGCGCATGCTTCGCCACAGCTGCGCTAGGAATACCTAGTCAAAACCCATGTGCTACTTCATAGCTGGAAGAATGGATTACTATTCACACCAAACTCACGCCTGCACATTACGACAGATTACTCATAATGTTTATTCTACAGACAACTACAGCAGTACTCATTGCCTTTCTTGCAGTCATTGCCTACAATGAAGTTCGAAATCGTCTTGCGAAAAGACGATCAAGAAGAAAGGATCTTGAAACCCCAGGCAGCCCAACCATACCCGCCACCAACGATGTCAAACCACCAGTGGATGACGGGACTTTGGAGACATCTCCCATCATTCAGACGTATCACTCAATCGATCCCGAGCTGGAGAGATACAAGCAGCTTTACTACAAACTCCATCGTCTCGAACACCACCCCGAAATCCTACCAGAGTGTCGCGAGCTCCTCCTTGGTCTCCTCTCCTCAACTATCGCCGACGCAACCAAGGAACCCCACAGCGGAATCTTAACCGTCGAACAATTCTCGCGCGACGGATTAGATGAGTTCCTCAAAGCCAAGGACGTCGACGTCACCAACCGCTGGGAGGAGTATCTTACGCGTCGCAGAGCCGGTGGATCCCGCGAGATGTTCAGTGACAAGGAGGAAGCGAAGTGGTGGCTCAAGCAAGCAGCACCAGTCAAGTACGTCGATGGTGCATGGCTCGGGCACATCAACAAGATTAGCACGCCATTCAAGTACCGTCAAATCACCAAGAATGCCTGGCAGGTCATGTCCGAAGAACTTGGGGACGGCGATCTCGCAAAGAATCACGTTCACGTGTACAGAGAACTGATGGAGGACATCGAAGCTGGGCTTCCCGCTGCCGATTCGAAAGACTTTATTCATCCCCGTCACGATCTGACTGAAGCGCGCTGCTGGAAAGCCGCCATGG